CTGACCTTAAGGTTCGCAGCCCGATTCGTAACCACTACGCTACCAGAGCTCCCATCCCTCTCAACCCTGTGTACCAAGGGGGTGGGAGAGATCCTCGCTGTAAAGATTCGTTCCCGTTTTGGAGCTACTACATCCATAAGTGTAGGTAAAGTTCATTAAATTGTAGCAGGATACTCTTATTCCTTTCCCCTCTTCTTTCTTCTTCTATTTGAGTTCTGATCATAAAGCCATCAAAGCCAGATCAAGTGGGTACTATCTGCAAGTATGGGTGTTCTTGTTCATCTCAGCTGGACGCTTCACTCTCTGCTCTAGTTTTCTGTGACCATGTCACTGCCTCTGGGCCCAGGAGTCCCTGGGTCTTGCCGTACTGCTGGCTATCCAGGGGGTCTATTGAATGTGGTCGGGCTTAGCTTGCAACTTCATTGCTGTTTTTCCCCCTCTTCCCTTGTCAGTGACCAGTGTGGTCAATAGCCAGATCACATGCCTGCTCATGTATTCCCCTTGAGTCTCAGTCTTGGAAGGGGGTTTGCTCTGAGGGGGTCCCGACCACTTGCCTTGATGGCTCCTGTGTGAACAGCTTACTTGTTATTGTAATCAATCAGACTGCCATTATTGTTTCAGATTTTTCCTGCTGTTCTTTCTTACCTGAAGTATCTTCTGTTATTCTAGCCACTCCAGGCTGGTCTACTCGTCCTTTTCAGTGGAAAATTCCTACTTCAGTAGGTTCTGGATGGTGTTCTGGATTCCACTATTGGTCTTGTGCAATGTAAAGGCTCCACAGGAAGCCTCTTTCACTGGGAAACTTCTAGACCCCCTTTAAGGTATTCCAATCAGTTTTAGGCTGAAGACAGACTTACAAGCTTCCTGTAGTGATGATTCTGGATATTCCTTTCTCCCCACCTCAAGTGTGTATTTTACAATGGTAGGTAAGGGAAACCAAGATTCAAAAGACAGCCAACCATCTTAACACTATTCCCCTCTTTTATCCCTTCAAACCGTGCCTCAATCCCTGTATCCCAGAGCCCTATTCCAAGGTTGTGCATACATCATCATTTACTGCTGTCCCACTTAGCCCATGTGAACCTGCCTAACTATTCTCCTATCAGCCTTGTTCTTCCATTACCCTACCCCTACTTCTGTATTGCCCACCCCCATATACCCCTCCTCCTGCATCCAAGCTATCCTGTATCTATTCCTTACCTCCTTACCCTGTGCTCTAACTTCCCTTCCCTCTCTCCCCTCCTCTCATCCCATACATCCTGGTGATCAGCAAATATATATATAAGTTTTTTTCCCCTGTTAGTGTGGGTTCTTTTAATTACTATTTTACAATAGTAGTCCTATGCAGTATTTCTCCTTTTATGACTGACTAATTGCACTCAGCATAATGTCCTCAAGGTTCATCCATGTTATATGGTGGCTTGCAGCTTCATTGATGTTCTTCAAGGTAGCATAGTATTCCATTGTGTGTATGTACCAAAGATTGTTTATCCATTCTTCAACTGATGGGCACTTAAGACTGTCTCTATCTTTTTGCTATTGTAAATAGTGCTGCTGTGAACATTGATGTGCATATATCTACTTTTGTTATGGCTCATATTTTCAAGAGGTTCCCTCTTGAAAGCTTGTAAGCCAGTCACTTCTTGCCTTTGTAGCACCCGCATTTTGGGTAACCAATGTCCAAGTTGCCCATCCCTGTCTACTCTGTATATGGAGGAGGTGGGAATGATCCTTGCTGTAAAGATTTGTTCCCTCTTTTGAGCTACTGCATCCAGAGGTGTAGGTCAAGTTCATCAAATTGTATCAGATTACTATTTTTTTTTCTTCTTCTAGTTTAGCTCTAATCATCCTGAGCTCTAATCATCCAGTCATTGAAGTCAAGTCAGTTGGGTATTATCTGCAAGTGTGGGTGTTC